TGTGGCAGCGGTAATGAGGTTGGCCCAGGATCAGACATTGTTTCATTCTGCTGTGCATGGGGTCGCTATGAGTCGGTTCCGACTTGATGTCACCTGACAACAACAACAACAACTACACTACACTGTTTAAGTATTAAAGACAATGCAGAAATTGCCTTTTTAAAGACAGAAACAGAAAGATATAAAGAATAACTCCATAATGTTTTAACCCTCTGTAATCTTCCACCAGAGTCCTGGTGTGGCGCTGTGGGTTAATGCGCCAGACTGCAAAGCCATTTGAACTGCAAGATCGGTGGTTCAAGCTCACCAGCTGCTCCTCAGAAACCCTATACAGGGTCACCATGGGTTGGAATCAACTCAACGTCGCTTAACAACAAAAGACTTCCACCATCTCATCATACATTTTGTAACTATTTGTTGAAACCCTCTGTAACATATTGTTGTTGTTGTTAGGTCTCATCTAGTTGGTTCTGACTCAGAGTGACCCTTTGTAGCACTGAACAAAACACTGCCCAGGCCTGCACCATCATTTCGATCGTTACTCTGGTTGAGTCCATTGTTGTATTCACTGTGTCAGACCATCTCATTAAGTCTTCCTCTTTTTCAGTGACTCTGCTTTACCAAGGATGATGTACTTGTCCAAGGACATATTCCCTCTCATAACAAGTCCAAAGCACATGGAACAAAGTCACACCATTCTCATTTCTAAGGATCATTCTGGCTGTACTTCTAACAAACACAGATTTGTGTGTTTTTCTGGCAGTCCATGGTATATTCAATATTCTTCACCAACACCATCATTCAATTACATTAATTCTTCAGTCTTCCCTATTCATTGTCTAGCTTTGGCATGTATATGAGACAATTGAAACTACCATGGCTTGGGTCAGGTGCATCTCAAATGACATTTTTTACATTCGTAACATGGTTCATTATTATTATTCCAGGTCCATGTGTCCTTGTGTCCATTCTGAAGTATGTCCATAACCAAAGCCTTGAACAACGCATCAGTGACCACATTCATCCTCTTGGGATTCACAGACCATCCAGAATTGCAGGTTGTCCTCTTTGTGACCTTCCTGGGCATCTATCTCATAACTCTGGCCTGTAATCTGGCCCTCATCACTTTGATTAAAATTGACACCCGTCTGCATACACCCATGTACTTCTTCCTCAGCAATTTGTCCTTCATTGATATCTGCTACTCTTCTGCAGTGGCCCCCAAGATGCTCACTGACTTCTTCCAAGAGCAGAAAACAATATCATTCATGGGCTGTGCTGCTCAGTTTTTTTTCTTTGTCGGCATGGGTTTAACCGAGTGCTTCCTCCTGACAGCTATGGCGTATGACCGATATGCAGCCATCTCCAACCCCTTGCTCTACACTGCCATCATGTCTCAAGGCCTTTGTAACCGAATGGTAGTTGGGGCGTATGTTGGTGGCTTCCTGAGCTCCCTGATCCAGGCTACCTCCATATTTCGCCTCCACTTCTGTGGGCCCAACATTATCAACCATTTCTTCTGTGACCTTCCACCAGTCCTGGCACTTTCTTGCTCTGATATTTTCCTCAGTCAGGTGGTGAATTTCCTCGTAGTAGTTGCTGTTGGTGGGACATCATTCCTCATCCTTCTTATCTCCTACAGTTACATAGTGGCTGCTGTCTTGAGGATCCGCTCAGTGGAAGGCCGATGGAAAGCCTTCAACACCTGTGCATCACACCTGATGGTGGTGACTCTGTTGTTTGGGACAGCCCTTTTCATGTATCTACGGCCCAGCTCCAGTTACTCATTTGGCAGAGACAAGGTGGTGTCTGTGTTTTACTCATTGGTGATCCCCATGCTGAACCCTCTCATTTACAGTTTGAGGAACAAAGACATCAAAGATGCCCTGCGGAAGATGTTGGCAAAGAAGAAAGTGTTTTCCTAGATCTTAAGTGAAAATAGCTCTCCCAGTTACTGGAGACTAAAAGATCCCTGGCATTTACCTTAACCTCTGCCTTAGGCAAGGGAAATATTCCTTTTTCATATTTGAAAGGTGAGCTTCTCCAGCAAAATTCTTTTCACCTCTTAGTGTGGCCGCCTGATTACCAACACTATCTAGGGTAGCTAAAAAGGAGAAGACTTCTGCAGCAAAAAATCCTCTGCTGGATAGCCTATAATAGCAATGCAGTTATTTGCCATTGAGTCAGCTACAACTCATGTTCAATAGACACAAATGCTGCCAGATCATGTACCATCTTCACAATCATCGATATGTTCAAGTCCATTGTTTGGGCCAGTTTGTATTTTAAGTGTTGTCCAACTTACAAGGCTCATCTTTCAGCACTATCTTGGGAAACTTTTTGTTATAGTCTATAAGGTTTTTATTGGTTAATATTTGGAAGTAGAATTCCAAACCTTTCTTCCTTACTCCGTCTCAGTCTGAAAGCTCAGCTGAAACCTGTTCACCATGAGTGGCTCTGCTGGTATTTGAAATACAGATAACATAGCTTTCAGCATCATAGCTACGTAGAAGCCACCACAGTACAGCAAACAGATAGGTGGTGAACAACAACAATAGACCCACCTTTACTAGGTACCTCACATGTACTAGGCACAAACGTTACTTAATCTGAAACTATGGCATGCATAGTGTTATCTCTACATTGTTTTTGTTAGGTGTCCTTGCATCAGCTCTGATTCATGCACAACAGAATGAAATACTGCCTGTTCCTGTGCCATCCTTATAGTTGGTATGTTTTGAGCCCATTGTTGTAGCCAATGTGCCAATCCATTTCATTAGGGGTATTCCTTTTTTCTTTTGACCCTCTGTTATGTCCTTCTCCAGGGATTGGTATCTCCTCATAGTATGTCCAAAATACATGAGACAAAGTCTCCCCATTCTCACTTCTAAAGAGCATTCTGGCTGTACTTCTTCCAAGACATATTTGTTTTTCTGGAAATCTATCGTACTTTCAATATATTTGACAACACCATCATTGAAATGCATCGATTCTTCACCCTTCCTTATTCATTATCCAGCTTTCACAAACTTATATGGCAATTAAAAACACCATGATTTAGGCAAATCTTAACCCTCAAAGATTGCTCTTTAACACCTGAAAGAGGTCTTTTGCAAGATAGTTGCTTAATACAATAAATTGATTTCTGGACTGCTGCTTCCATGAGCATTGATTGTGGAATCAAGTAAAATGAAATCCTTTACAACTTCAACATTTTCTCTGTTTATCATGTTTTTTTGCTAGTCCAGTTATGAGAGGAATTTTGTATTATTTACATTGAGTTATAATCCATATTGAAGGCTATACTCTTTAATCTTCATTAATAAATACTTCCAGCCCTCTTCACTTTCAACTAACAAGATTGTTCCATCTGCATATCGCAGGTTGTTAATGATCTTTCCTCCAATCCACATGCCACATTCTTCTACATATCGTATAGTTTCTTGACTTATTTGCTCAGCATACAGATTTAATAATTTTGATGAAAAAATGCAACTTTGATGCATGCCTTTCTTGGCTTTTAAACCACACAGAATTCCCTTGTTCTGTTTGAATGTACACACTCCACAGAAGCACAATTAAGTGTTTTATAATTTCCATTCTTCATTATATTATCCATATTTTGTTTTGATCCACATAGTCAAATGTCCTTGCATAGTCAATAAAACACAAGGAAACATATTTCTAGAAATCTCTACTTTCAGCCAAGATCCATTTGAGATTCACAATAATATTGTTTCCTTTACTTTTCTGAACAAAACTTCAATTTCTGGCAAATCCCTGTTTACAATGACAAAAAAAAAAAAAGGATTACTGTTGAGGCTGCTTATGTACAACCAAAAACCTCATGTGATTTTATTTCTTGCTTTGGAGATTTTTAAGGGTCATGGTTACATGGGACATCCTAGTTAATTGGCCTGATAGCATGTGTAGTGTTTTTGTTCTACCTCTTAGTTTGCTGCATGTTATCTTGGGCATTGACAACTTGCAAGCAGCAAGGTGTAATAATTTAACTTTATTTACCTGGAGCAACAAAGGAAAAAGGAGAGTCAGGAATGAGAGAAGGACATGGAGTTTGTGGCTAATTTCCTCAATTTCCCATAAACAACTATCTCCTTGGCCAAAAGATCAAAATAAAGTTGTTCACCTATCACTACAGTAAATTTTTACAAAAACTACCATAAAAGAATTCTGATCATGAGAGGAAAACGGGTCTTTCAACAAGATGGCCGACTAGACAGATGCACTGAATGGACCCTCTACAACAAAGATACAAAAGACCAAATGAAACAGACATAGATAGAAACCCTGGAACCCTGAACTTCTGAGGAAAGGTTAGAGGAGTAGAGCTAGTGCTTGCTGGGAGGAAGCACTGAGCAAGGATGGCAAGAGGAGACTGGCTGATGAATGGCCAGCCAGACGTGGCACAACCATCTTGAACTTTTGTGAGCAACTTTAGCAACAGTAGGTGGTCTGGCAGAGCAGAGCCTTCTTTTTTTCCCATGCTCCCCTAGTGATCAGAGATATGACCAGCTCCCATCTTCATCCACCCCCAGCACAGACCCTGCTCTCCAGCAGTTCAAAACTGCAGGGTTATGAATCATCCCCGTGTGATGCAGGGGCTGGCTGAGCTGATTTGGTGCCTGGATTCAGGTTGGCTCCACTCCATACCTACAGAATCCACAGATCCACCAGATCAGCATTAGTATAGTAAAAACAGTCATAATCAGCCACTCGGTCCTCAGCTGCCCTGTAATCCTAACAGACACCGAAACCAGCTCCATCAAAAGCCTCCGCAAAGTCCATCTGGATTGAGTGCCCTGAACACAGATAACACCTAGGCCTATAGGAACTCCTTCTAGGACCAGGAACTTCACTGTCACATCCCTCCTGCACTCATCTCATTAGCTCCTTGACTGGCAGGAGGCCCCAGAGTTTTCTCCTCTTTAGATCCAACAGCTCAACTAATTTTTTTTGGTTTAGTTTTTTTCCTTTCATTGCTTCACTATTTTTATTTTTGTCTCCTTCTTCTTCTCTTCCCATTCCCTTGAATTTTACATTTTCTGTCTTTGCTTTGAATACCTGATGAGGCACTGTAGAATAAGCATTGTACTGCTAACCACAAGGTCAATGGTTCAAGTCCTCAAGCTGCTCCTCAGAAACCTTACACAGGGAGGATTGATATGAGTCAGAAACAACTTAACATCTCTGCTACTAATTTTGCATCTTTTCTTCTGTTTCTCATTTTCTCTCTTCATTTTTTCCTTTTTAATCTTTATTTACTACTCTCTACGCTCTTTCTCTTTTCATCTTCCCTCTCCCTGGTTTTTCTAAGTGTTTTGTTTCGTTTTTAATTTCTTTTATTTTCTGTCTTATTTTTCTCTTCTATAGTTCCATTTAGCGTAGTGGTTACAAATCGGGCTGTGAATTGCAAGGTCAGCGATTTGAAACTACCAGCCGTTCTGTGGGAGAAAGATGAACTTTTCTGCTCCCGTAAAGATTTACAGCCTCGGAAACCCTGTACAGGGTCGCTATGAATCGGAACTGACTTCACAGCACACAACAACAACAACAACAACATAGCTCCATTTGCCTGTCCTTTTTTACTCTTTTTAGGTATTATATTATTTTTTTCTGGTTGTTGCCTGTTTTTGTTTCTTTTTTGTCCTTTATTATTTTCTCTTTTCATTATTGGCTACTTGTTTGTTGATTCTGTTTTGCTTTTTTGTATATGTGTGGGGGGTTCTCCTCTTTCCTACCTCACAGGAGACTACAACCATACCCATACAACCAAGAAACAACCATACCCTCTGCAGCTGAACCCATTAGGCAAGAGCCAAACCAGCTCCTATACTCCCTGATCAACTATAGACAGTAGTGAACACCAGCCAATCCCACCTCAAACTAAGGTGCATGAACAGCAAATGGAAAACTATGAACACATTTTGATTCTCTAACTACACCAATTGGAGTCAGTTGGTGAGAGCCTAGAAACATATCAATATACAAGCATCAATTAAATACAAATATGACATCGCAGTGCCCTGGAGACAATAGACAATTTTAGCTTGCATGAAGAAACAAGGGAGTGGCTGAAACAAACGACCAAGATGAAGAGCAGGAAATGTTTCTGAGGGGGAAAAGGTAATGGAGCTAACTTAGAAATAATTCAAAAAAATGATATCTAGGTACCTCCAAAGGATTGACAAAAAGATCAAAAATCAAGGAGAATAAAGATAAAAACTTTAAAAGAATTCAGGAAAACACTTCAAGAGCAAACAGACAAAATACATGTAAATTCTGAAACAATACAAAACTTGCAATTATAAATCCACAAAATTAATACTAAGATTTCATAAAGGACAATGCATTCAAAGGAAAAGGAGGCAATCTGAAGGAATGGAAGCCAAAATTAGTGAGCTTGCATATAAGCTTACTATCCAAGTGTGATAGAAGAATAATCAGAAAAAGAATTAAAAGACTCAAAGAAAGCCTAAGAATTATGTGGGACAACAAGAAGAGGGATAAAGTACTAGTGACAGAATACCAGGACAGGAAGATAGAATAAAATTTAAAAATTAAAAAAAGAAAAAAATTGTTGAAGAGTTGTTGGAAGAAAACTTCCCCAACATCTTGAAAGATGAGAAGTAAAGAATACAAGAAGCTTACTGAACACCAAGCAGGATAGATCCCAAAAGAAAATCTCCAAGACATATCATAATCAAACTTCCCAAAATCAAAGACGTAAAGAATCCTTAAAGTAGCTCAGGAAAAACAAAAATTTCCCTACAAAGGAGAACCAATAACACTAAGCTCTAATTTACTAGCAGAAACCATTCAAGCAAGAAGGGAATCAGGAGACATATACAAAACTCTGCAAGGAAAAAAAAAATTTTCCTACCAAGAGTCATATACCAAGCAAAAA